ATGAATAATCATAGGGATTAATCCAGCATCTATTACAGCTTGAACTTGTTGCTGATTGCCTGCTGTTATGTTGGAAAGGAACCAAACCGCTTCCTGCAATTGGACATAATACAGGGCATAGTTTTGTTTGAAAAAGTATACCTTTAGTGCTTTTACATAAATATACTCTCTCTCTCTCTCTCTCTCTCTCTATATATATATATATATATATATATATCACAAAATTACCTGAGTTATGCTAAAATGATTATATCTAAAAAGTGATTTGATTGTCTAACATCTTCCTGTTAAAATAAAATATATAGAAATTGCCATCCATAATATTTGTGTCCCACTAACCAGGCATCTACCCATTCAACAAACACAAGCCTACTGCAAGATACATATTATTCTAGGCCAGTGATGGTGAACTTTCAATTATATATACAGCTTGCTGTGACATGTATGCCATAGGTTCACCACTACCGTTCTAGGCAATGGAGATATGCCAGCGAACAAAGCAGACCAAAACCTTTATTCACGCACCTTACATTTCTGTCCATTAGTTCTCTCTAAAAGGCAGAAGTACAAGACTGAATTTTGGAGTACATTGTTAAAACTACCATGGTAATAAAGATGAACTGTTTTATTTTAAAAACAACTATTCCTAAGACATAATCAAGTATTCCATAGAAATTAAGCTTAGAAATGGGTCTATGTAACAATACTGTATTAATTTAATATTAAAGGATTTACAAACCATAAAAAGGCTTATTGTAATATTACTGTCAAATGTTTATCTTCTTTGTTCTGCACATCTAAGAGTTAACTGTAAATTTATTCTACCAACCAACTATAGTAAGATATCAATAACTGGTGAATTTGTGTTTAAAGGGTATGAGTGTTTCTCTCCTCTCCAATTTCCCCTCCCCTTTAGTTTGGTACTGGGGACTGAATCCAGGGCCTTCACGCTGAGGTCTACCCAATTTTTTATTTTGAGACAGGATCTCATAAAGTTGCTAAGTTGCTCAGGGTGGACTTGCACTTGCAGTCCTCCTACGTTAGCTTCCTGAAGTACTGGAATTACAGGTATATATCACCACATCTGGCTATTTTTCTTGTAAATTCTGTGGGTTTAAACATTTTAAAATTAAAATGCAAGGAGGAAAAATCAAGTTGGTAAATTCTAATACAGGATCTCCCAATGATCTCAAGATATAAGTAACAAATTCTCAAGGTGAAAACTTTTTAAACTACCAGCTTTTTGGCTGAGTATATAATTGTACAAAGCTTTTCCTTCCCACACAATGCCTTCATGGAAGAGCATAAAGCACCACGGGCCAGAACATCTTTCTTTTTTGTTGTTGTTGTTTTTTAAATAATTTTACTGAGAAAGTAGCAATGAGATATTTTCAAAACAAGTTAGTAGTGCAGTTATTCCTAGAACAAGATGCAGACATGATATCTTGTCTAAACATTATTAGTTCAAAACTTTCTTCTCACTGAACTAAGAGAAAGCAGCTGTATATCTATGCTATTTTGTATATACATATATATATATATTTTTTTTTTCCACTACAAAATGGTCCTTCATTTATATCCCTTTTGCAGAACATCTTTCTACACTCCTCTGTCTAGAATTTTTTTTAGTGTTTCATAATTATAGAATATACTTAGCCATAAAATCACCAATATTATTAAAATTTCTTCAGTAAAAATCACTGGCCCAGAGTTTGAGTTTCTCTGTATTCACCAGAACAGATTTATCCATAAAACATAATTTTTGATAATATACCTTTCTGCAGGAATCAAAATCAAATTATAGTCAAGCAATTATATAAACATTATTTATTTATTTATTTATATTTTAGGGAATGGTCTACAAGGTGTTTAGGGTCTCACTAGTAGATCAGACTCATAATGATCCGCCTGTTTACAGACTCTCAAGAGCTGGGATTATAGGCGCATGACACTTCGCACAGTCTCAATCCACATCTTAGTGTGCCCTGGGGGCGGGGCCAGCATGGCAGGCCTGGGATGGAAGCCCCGACCCCTGCGCCAAGCAGGCACTTTAATCTGCTGAGCTATTTGGCTGGCCCTATATAAACACTTATGATACAGAAGAAATGATCAATTTTGCTGGATTTGAGGAAAGCAGCACGATGGGTGATAAAACTGCATTAGAAACATAAACTAAGTGCATAATGAGATACCATTTCACACCTACTATGATATCTGTAACTTTTTAAAAGTGTAAAATATGGGGAAACTGGAAATTAATATATTGCTGATGGGAATCTAAAATGGTACAACCATTCTGGAAAAATTTTGGTGATTTCTTAAAACACTACCACAGGATTACCATGATCCAAGAATTCCTAGCTTTCCACTCAAAGGAAATAAAAGCAAAGATTCATACAGCTCTTTATATGGTTTTATATATAATAATCAAAGATCGCAAATGACCCAAGTATCAATAGGTGAGTGGATAAACAAAACAAAATGTGTAACACAAAACAGAGCATTCACTATAAGGAATAAACTTCTGGTGAATACTAGATAAACCTTGAAAACTTGTTATGTGAAATACATCAGATATAAAAAGATTTCAGTACTTAATTAAACACAACTAATAATGATTTTTTAAAATGTATTTTTTAGTACAGGGACTACAGGGTCTCACTACATAGATTGGACTCACAGTGATACTCCTGTTTTCAGCCTCCCAAGTACTAGGATTACAGGTGTGCCTCAGGGGCGGGGTCGGCATGGCATGCTGGGGATTGAACCCTGGTTCCTGCGTCTGCCTAAGCATGCTGAGAGCTATTTGGCCAGCCCTAAGACTATACAACTAATAATAAATTTGCATTTTAAACTTGAAATCTTTTTTTTTTTTTCTTCTGTATTTAGGACAGGGCCTACAGGGTCTACAGAGTCTCACTTTATAGATCAGACTCGTAGTAATCCTCCTGTTTTCAGCCTCCCAAGTGCTGAGATTACAGGTGCGCACCATCATGCCCAGTCTCAATTGCCATCTCAGCAAGCCCATGCCCTGTGGGTGGGGCGGCAGGGGGCACACCAGGGATGAAACCCCAGTTGCTGTGCTTGGCCTAAGCAGGCACTTTAGTCCGCTGAACTATCAGGCCAGCCCTATGCTTGAAATCTTATAAAGAGAAAATTTTATAATTCTGGAACTTTGATTTTTCATCTTAGAGCCCACTCTATTTCTGTAGCAGATTAAATTATGATCTGTTTGCTGGAGAATATACCAGCCACTCAAATGGGAGGTTTAAATGGACTTTCTTACATGGACTATTAATTTAGTAACTGTGATACTGCTCAATCTATAAAAATGTATTTTATCTAAAAATATATTTTAAAACCTTCTGACAAGACTAGCACTTACAGGAAGCAACTAAAAGTTAAAATAAAGAATTGTTAGGTTACCTTAAAACAATTATCATCCTAACTGCAATATTTTTGAAGAAAAAAACACTCAAACATGCAGCAATAGAAACAGCAGGACAGTTCAAAGTGAGCTACTGGAAGAGAAAGCAATGTACTGGGTGGAGACATCACACATTATTTATGTATTTACCTTATTTATCTTCTCCTTTGGGTGTGACAGAAGATTGGGGAAGTGTGACAGGACATCACAGTTGAGTACAACCTGTGTCTGCTCATCAGTGCCTGTCACAATGTTGCCAACCGCCCTGAGTGCTGCAGTCTGGGACAGGGATTAAAAAAAAGAATTTTAGAAGTTATTTGTTTATCATGAAACTGATTCTTTTTATTTTATTTTATCATGTATTTGGTACAGGGTCTCACTACACAGCTTAGACTTCTATTGATCCTCCTGTTTAAGCTTCCCCAGTGCTGAGATACAGACATGTACCACCATGCCTGCTTTCAGTGGTTGGCTCAGTGTGCCCAGAGGTGGCACTGGAATGGCCTGTGGTGCCGGGGATTGAACCCATGTCTCTGCACTTGCCTAAGCAGGTGCTTAGTCAGCTGAGCTGTCTTGCCAGCCCTGAAAATCTTTACTTTTCATAATCCTAAGAAAATGTAAAAATGTAAGGAGTAGTCAATTAATATTTCTTTCATCTTTGCACAAAGCAATGATCAGAATGAGCAATTCTGAAGTTTCAACAAGTCTATGAAAAAAATGAAACTTTAAGGGGAAATTGTCCAAAAAACTGTTAAAGAAAGATTTTTTAAAAAAAGAAGACTAAGGGCCAGCGAGATAGCTCTGCAGCAGAAGCACCTACTTGGCAAGCATGAGGTCCTGAGTTCAATCGCTGGTACAGCAAATATATTATATTTGAAGGCAAAGTGGAGCAACTCCTAAATCAGGGAATTTGGTAGTAATATATATATCTGAAATAAAAACTCTTAAGTTCCAGTTTAAAAATAGCTATTCAAAAAAATAAATTAAAAAAAATAGCTATTCACATCCATTACTAAAGAGCATTCATTTCCATCTAACAAGTAAGTAACTTCAGCATAAGTGGAATTAGTAGACCTAACAGTTACTTGGAGTAGGAGAGAGGACATATAGTTAGGAAGCTATTACAATTACTGGGAGAAAGAAAATAAACTAAATCATTGGCTCTAGACAGACAAAGTCAAATCTGAGAGCTATGTGAAAAGAACTGAAAAATTTTGGTAAAAGAATGTAAAATGAAAGGAATTAAAGAATCTAGCTTGGAACATGCTTCCACTGAAAGGTGATAATTAAAATTGAAGTAAGTTTTGTAGACTAAATGATCATTTTATTTCTATCTGGATGAAATGACAATAGTATACTTGAAGGCATTCTTAGAAGGTATGTTTAATGGGTCAAGAATAATTGGTTAGCAAAGAATATAGGCATGAGAAACATTTGGAAATCAACAAAATCATACTCAGAAGACTAACAGAGCAAGCTTAAGCATTAGTGTGAACTGACTTAACTGAAGCTTGGCTATACTATATAAGGATAAGCTCACTGGTTATAGCAAACAATTCTATGTAAGTAAGAAAAAAACATAAAACTACTTACTTGAACTTTCACTTCCTGGTGGCTCAGAAGGGGCACCAGAAATGGCACAACACCTGAATCAATCACCATTTGTATCTGTTCATTCCCTCCATCTGTCAAGTATGACAGAGCCCAAACAGTGTCTACAAGAATCTACAGAAAGTAAAAAACAGTAACTTGTTGGTGTACTTATTTAAGTTCTTAAAATACATGTCAGGAATGATGACACAAAACGAAACTAAATTTTATGCTTTAGCTTGGCACCAAAGATATCTATTTGTATGCCAAATCCAGGTAAGTGGCAGTTATTTTACTTTTCTCACCTATCAGACTAGCAAAAAATTTAAATTCAGCATTCTTAGGAGTTACGTAGAATGTCACTTTTGTATGCTGCTTGCTAAGAAGGCAAAGTGGAGCAACTCCTAAATCAGGGAATTTGGTAGCATATAAAAAATTATAAAAGCATTTATTATCTAACAATCCTTTTAGTTACTTACCATGAAAATATATCTCCAATAACATGTAAATGCACAATCATGTATACACAAAACAGAGAATCCTGAGGCTTGGAATTACACTTTGCTCTGTGATGTTTTAGGAGACTACTAAATGAAATACAACTTTTTATTGAATAGCTCCATCTATTAATAGAAATCCTTCTTCCCACATTAATATAGAAAGGTTTCAATAATGATATATTCAAAACTTCTTTTTAATGTATTTGGAACAGGGTCTCAGTATGCAGCTCGGACTCCTAGTGATCCTACTGTTTTCAGTGTCCCAGCACTGGGATTACAGGCATGCATCAACATGCCCAGCCTAACACTCCTCCTAACTATTGTTTATTACAGATAATTATACTTGTGTGTATACCTATGTGCTGCTGCTCTACAAAAACTATTCAATGACTCCACACTACAAGATAAAGCCAAAATTCCTTATTAATTAAATTTACATTTTAGGTATACATAATAATCACATTCATCATGGGGAATTTGTACCTGTACATGACATATCTTCATTTTTTTCCCCCTATTCTTCTATCCTTCCTTAAACCTCTCTTCCCTCCTAAAGCCAAAATTCTTTAACACAGGTTCCAAAGCTCTGTAAATAAATTCTGTATCAAATATACTGTATAGAGACCATCCCGGTTCTCACTGTGGCCCAGGAAGTGTATATTTGTGATCCCATGAAAAATTATAATTCTAATGAGTTAATTTTAATCCACCACTTCCAGTGCAACCTATGGTGAGAATAAAGACATTAAGGCATATGTGTAGTTACAGGGAGCCAAGAGGTCATAAATCCAGCCATGATGATGGCTATTCAGAAAAAAGGCCTTGATTCAAGACCAAACCTGGGTTTTATTTATTCATGAAGAAGGGAATGACTTAATGATTGACTGTGAGAATGGTGGGAAGTAGGTGAGTGCTGTGAGCTGGGCTAGGTAGGAGGCCTCAAATCACCTCTGCAATGCAGAGAAGTATATAGAGAAAGAGTAATCTGTGTAACTCAATTGAGCCAGTATCTAATATTTTGGGGTCAGTGCTTCAGCTCTGTAGTTTTTCAAGCCCAGAAAATCACTCAACGTTCCACTCTAGGCTCTTCATCCCACCTCCTCCTCATTCCATCTCTATGGGCTCACATAAGGGAACAATGGGAGGACCTGGGGAAACACAGCCTGCTGTCTTTAAACACTATCATCAGCACCTTGGCTGGACTGATATGCACTGCTAAAAGACAACTGAAGGGATAAAGAAAATAAAGAAAAGTCCTAGCCAGCTCTGTACATATTAATACATAGAAATTGTGTCAGGTTCAGTCAAAATGAAGACAAGTGCTCTTTCTTCAGAGTCACCCAGGTGGTTTTCCACAATACTGAATCTATCTACACCATATTCTCTAAAACCTCCCATGGTCCTTACCATCTCTGAGGCCATGAAATTATTTTCTCAACTTGACAAAATTCTATTCATGTCAGCTGCATGACTTTGTAAATAAGTCATTTAATTACCTCACTCCTTTTCTTTAAATCCACATTAGTAAATAATGGTAACAGAGAAAACGACAGCACCAATCTCAGGATTTTTGATATGAATTAAGAGAATTAACACATGTAAATCACTTAAAACAGTGCCTGGCACATTTTAAAACTCAATAAACATTGTGTATATTATCTTTGACATCTCTGTCACCATCTCCTTCTTAAAATGTTCATTGCAGGGGCGGGGAGATAGCTCAGTAGTATAAGCACCTGCCTGGCAAGTGCAGGGTCCTCAGTTCAATCCCCAGTACTGCAAAAAAAACAACAACAAAACAAAACAAAACACAAAGCTCATCTCAAATATGATTTCTTCACTGATGCTTTCTGGTTTACGAGAAAAAATTATCTTTGCTTTCATCAACTAGCACTATGGTGTTCTGCTACACTTTTTTTGGTCTGCTTTTGCATCATGTAGTATATTTATATAATCATGGCCTGAAAGACTACAAGGCCTTGGTTTCAATTCACAGCTATGACTCTTATTTACTGTATACCTTACTGCTTTCTAAACTGTTATCACTTTACAAATATTAACCTTTAAAAAAAACTATGAATTAGGCATGTTGGCACATTCCTGTAATCTTAGCACTCAGAAGGCTGAGGCAAGAGCACCACCAAATGTCTGAGGCCAGCCTAGGCTACATAATGAGTTCAAGGCCAGACTGCTCTACATAGCAAGCCCTTGCCTCAAAAAACAACCCCAAAAAATAAAACTCTGTTGCAGGTTCCCTTTTATCTGTGAGGAGTACATTCTGAGACCCCAAGTAAATGAAACTACTGAAACTGAGTATAGTACTAACCCCTGTATATACTGTTTTTTTCCTTTCCTACATGTACATACCTGTGATAGTTTTAATTCATATTTAGGCATAACAAGAGAACAATAACTAATGTTGAAACAGGACAATAACAATAAACTATAATATAATTATGATTTTAAAACTCATGTATTAGAAACTGGGATTTTCAAATTAGTATTTTTTGACCACAGATAAATGAAACTATAGTAAGTAAAAATGTGGGCAAGAGGGAACTACTATACAAAAATTAAGTACATGTATGATAGTATCTCTAAAATTAGTATTTTGTTGATTAAGTTATTATCTTATTTAATGTTAACTTCACTTACAAAAACTACTTATATACTATGAAAGCTTGTCAAATTGATAAAACAGTCTGACACTTAATTTAAAAATGATTCCAGTCCCATCAAGAGTAAATCAGGGGGCTGGGGAGATAGCTCAGCGGCATAAGTGCCTGCTTTGCAAGCACAAGATCCTGAGTTCAATACCCAGTGCACACACACTCAAGAAAGAGTAAATTAGACATTAACTTCTGCTATACTTACATTTATGTCTGTATGGTATATGAGGATACATAAAGCTGGCAAAATCTGAGGAAAGAAGATAAGCAATGAGTAACAAGGTCGGTGGACATGTCTTAGTAAAAATAACTCTTATATAAAGAGCAATAAATATGTTTGTAGGGCAAAGAAAACAACGTTAAATTTGTTTGAATATCTTTTAGGAAAACGAAAATCTGATAAATTCAATCTGAAAAACTCAGAGCATATTTTCAAATGTCTAAGTAAAACATCCAACTAAATCTGACAGAGATTTATGTACCTTAAAGGAAAAAAAATGTTAACCTTAAAATATAAAATGTTAAGTGAAAAGAATGGCAATTCAAAATATAACTATAAGAAGTCATCCCATAAATCTGTTATCACTGTCTCACTTACCTGAGTAAAGTAAATTTTTATTTAATAAATTTCTTGGGCAATATTAAAATTTTGACCTCAGCTTTACTTAAGAAAATCACAAAATAAAATGGATGCTTTGAATTCAGGCCTTACCAATCTCTTTTTAAAATGTGCAAGAGATTTCAAATCACTCTAAAGGTATTACACTAAGTATCCTTGCATAACAACAAAAGGTAGCAGATGTTGGCTAAACATGTGGATTCTAGAGATACACAATCAACAATTCTCTGCACAGTCAAGTGAATAAAAGCTTTGAAGGGCTGACTCCCTGCCCTGACTCCTTGGGGACTGAACCCAGGGCATCCCACACACTAGGCAAGAACTCTGTCATTGAGCTATATTCTCAAACATCATATGAGTTTTATAAACTCAAAATAGATTCATTTACACATTAGCTATAAATAGAAAAACTTTATATTAGATTTGACATGATGTCACACTTTCAAGAACACTAATTTTGTCAGTAATCAATTGCACTTAATGCAAATTCACTTAAGAACATTTTCACATACATTCACTAGTTCTCCTTGTAGCAACCCCACCCTTTAGTATATCAACAGTGTAATGTACTAATAAAGCTTTGAATTTTTTTCTTTCTCGCTTTTGTATTTCTTTCTTTTTTTTTAAAAGTCAGGGTCTTGCTCTGTAAATCAGGCTGGCCTTAAACTTCCTATGTAGCCCAGGCTGGCCTTGAACTTGCAGTAATCCTCTTGCCTCACCTTCCCAAGCACTAGGATTATAGATGTGCATTACCATTCCTGGCCTATTTTTTTTTCATGTGTTGTATTTTTCTATCTTAATTTTTGATAAGTATTCTTCTTATAAGTTATTTAAAAAATAAACATTAAGTATGAACAAGATTTGTTCACATATTACCAAGACACTGAACTTTTATTTCATAGGAGTGTAACTAAATACAGTACGTTATTTAAAAAAATCTCATACCTGTAATGAAATCAGCATATGCATTATTTCCTTCCCTGTGTATAACACCTAAAGCATAAACATAGGGAAAATATACCATCTGGCCTTTGCAATTCTTCATTTACCTCCTGAACTGTCTCCATAGGCGGTGGGGGGTCCTTATTCCTGCAGAGATTTACAATGACCCATGTGACGTTCCGAAGGAAGGTGATGGGAATGGAGGGATTGATGAAAGACAGAAGAGGTTTGACAACTCCCAGTGATATAACATAATCTCTACATTGAGGACCATCACCTACAGAAATGAAAATTGTATTTAAAAAAAAAATTACATTCAGGATGAGAAAGTTTGAAATGTATGCAATGGCTTATGTTGGGACACTGATGTTCTATGTTTCCTCAACTCTACTCAAAGACAGCCAGTGTTGTTTCTCCAGATTTTAATTTGAGGAATGCAAATTTAACCTACTATTCCTGATACAAATTGTACATTCTTTTACACTCATGAAATACAACCTTAAGTTGGTATTTATAAGAATATAGTCAACCCATATTAAATTCAGAGGAAACATAGTATGCAATGGCTATGCCAACGTAGAAAAAATGTTAATTAAGATTCTTAATTGATCTTTTAAAATCTAACTCCAACTTACCTATAATGTTTCCCAAAGCCCATACTGCTTGTTCACAAACATTCTGATGTGGTGAATGGAGAAGTCTTAGAAAAAGAGGTACTGCATCTGTAATAAATAAAAGTGATTATTTATACTAACAAAATGCTAAAGAGTTTATAGACTTCAGCCTAAAAAAGTTGATTAGAGTCTGGCACATTACTGTTACCCCATGATAGCTTACTAGATGAATAAATATGGCAAGGATTATCTTTACCCTAAAAATAATTATCAGAATAATTTCCCCTTAATAGTATGAGAATCTAAAAATTATTATAGCATTATCTATAAAAGCAAAAACAAAAACAAAAGGCAAAAAGGCAGCATGAAATTTTTGGGGGGCTGGGGATACAGCTCAGCGGCACAACACCTGCCTGACAAGCATGAGCTTGTGAGTTTGATTCCTGGTACAAAACAAAAAAGAAATCTTTCTTATAATTAACTAAAAAAGAAAAAAAGAAAGAAAAAAAAAGTTCTTACTACTCCCAACATGTACCCTTTAAAGTATAATTATTTGGGCTGGGAAAGTAGCTTAGCACTTTCTAGCATGTGTGAAGCTCTTGCCTAGCATGTGTGAAGCTCTTGGTTTAATCTAATATATGTGGTACTGGCAACTGAACCAGAACCTTTGCACTGAGTTACACCCGCAGCCCTTTAATTTTTTTTTTTTATTCTGATACAAGGCCTTGCTAAATTACCCAGGTTGATCTGAACTTTCAATCATCTGGTCTGAGCCGTCTCAAACCCCAGGATTACAGATGTTTAATCCTTATTCTTTATATAACTTTATACTCATTTCCAGGATAAACTAGATCACTTTCTAAATTTCAAATCTAAGTTATCTTTAGGATATTTTTGGCATATCTGTGCACTATTTGTATAATTTACTTGACATTATTAAAATCCATTCTTTAGGGCTGGGCAGATAGCTCAGCGGATTAAAGAGTTTGCTTAGGCAGAAACTGTGACCAGGGTTCGATCCCTGGCATGCAGTGCTGGCCCTGCCCCAGGGGCACACTGAGACAGCAATTGAGATTGTGCGTAGTGGTGCATGCCTGTAATCCCAGTGCTTGGGAGGCTGGTAACAGCAGGATCACTATGAATCCGATCTGTGTAGTGAGATCCTGTAGTAAATACACTAAAAAAAACCCAAAATCCATACTTCAAGCAAATAGAATTTATCAGTTCAAGTGTATGGTACAATAATTCTTAGTATTTACAGAGTTGTGCAGTCACTGCCACAGTCCAATTTTACATCATCACCAATCCCTCTAAACGTTCAAATCCAGAGCACTCACTCATTTTCTCTTTCGCTACTCACTCTCCCAGCCCTCAGCAATCAATGACTTCTGTCTTTCCTTATTCTATGTAATTCAGATAAATGAAAACATACCATGTTATAATATAAAAATGAAGTATCCTCCAAAGACCTACGTATTGAGGGCTTGATTCCCCAGTGCAGCAATGTTCAGAGGTGGGGTCCAGGGTGGCAATTAACAGGCATTGACCTCATTAAAGAATGAACCCACTGATGAGTTCATTAGCTTAAGGTGCTATCAAGATGTGGGGCCCTGCTGGAGCAATCAGGTCACTGGGCACATGCCTTCAAAGAGTATCTCTCTTCTCTGGTTCTTCCTCTGCTGCTTCCTGGATGCCATGAGGTGAGCAACTTTCTTCTACCACATCCTCCAGCCCTGAGGTTTTTGCCCTGGCGCCAGTTAACCATGGACTGAAACTTCTAAAAACACTACTCAAAATAAACCTTTGCTCTTTGAAGTTGTGTATGTCAGGTATTTTATCTCAGCAATGGAACTCAACCAATGTAGTGGTCAATGGAATGTAGATTTTTTTGGTCAGGTATCTTTCACTTAGCATAATGTTTTCCATCAATGATGTATAATGATGTAACAGGCATCAATACTTCATTTTTGACTGCTGAATAGCATTCCATTACATACACATTTTGTTTACCCACCCATCTGTTAAAGGACATTTGGGTTATTTATGAATAGTTTGCTGTGAACATGTGAATGTACCTCTCTGTGCACATATTTCATCTCTCTTGGTTTCTCCTAGGAAAAGTGCTGGGTCACACAGTAACTGCTTAACATTTTGAAAAATTGATTTCCAAAGCAGCTATACCACTATACATTCTCACAAGCAACAAATGGAAGTTTCAGCTGACCCATTTTTAATTTAACTAATCACTTCTGTAAAACAGAAGATGAGCATCATTTAAATAAATAAACAATAAAAGCAAAAGACCTTGTTAAATTTTACCTAATTTTGATTAAAGCCCCTTATAGGACTATGTCAGTTTGTCAACACATCAAATAATTATAAACCCATCTTAAGGTAAACACTTTTTAATGATGATAGTTATGGAAAAGATATCAAAACCATCAAAGTAACATAAATTCACCAGTTTAAAAGTTTCGTAAGATAAAATTTTCTTTTTAACAAAGCACTTGCCATCCAAAACAAGTTTTTAAAAAGTTCATAAGAGCAAGGAACTGAACTGACTTACTGGACTGTACAACAGCTTGAGTCTGTGCAGAAGTTCCTGATGCTATATTGGTTAGGGCCCATGCAGCTTCAAACTGTAATGAAGGGCTGTAAATAAATAAATAAGTAAATAAATTTTTTTTCAATTTTTTACTGGAGTCAAGCCAAGGTTTTGCTTTGTAGTTCAGCCTGGCCTTGAACTCACTATGTAGCTCAGGCTAGCCTCAAAAATGCAGCGATCCTTCTGCCTCTGCTTCCGAAGTGCTGGGATTATAGGTTTGTGCCACCACATGCCACTAAATTACTTAACTATATAACTACCTCCTCCAAACGTGATAAACCTGAGATACAAATGATCATCTCTTACTGTCTTGAACTTTACTTCATTATATCCAATTGCCTGCCACATTTCTCCACTTGCATATTTCACTGCCTAACAAAGTCAGTCACCATAAACCTCTTTATGTCCATTGGTAGTTGAAAAATCTGACTTGACTACACCATCCATTGATACTGCATACACTAAGGTTATTGTAAGCTGTATATTAAGTTTTCAGAAAGTCAGGGACTGCTGGATGTAGTGGCACAAGCCAGTAACTCCAGCATTAAAGGACTGCACATATACTCAGTATAAAGGCCTGGGCTCAAAATGTGTGTGTGGGAGGGAGTGGTGATAGCTGTAAGTTTTTTAAAAAGGCATCACACAGAGTGATTTTAATGTACACTGATAAGAAGGAATAGATCAAAATGTGTAAGGTTGTGTGAAAATATAAAAAACATGGGCCGTGTGTATGTGTGTAAATTTTCTAGGGCTGAGAGGATTTAGGAACGTGTTTCAAATCCTAGGCTTTGGAAGTCATAATTTATTCTATAGATATATTAAGGACAAAGTGCTATTTTAAAGAATGTTTTATTTATTTATTTATTTATTTATTTGGCACAGGGTCTTGCTATGCAGCTCAGACTCCTAGTAATCCACCTGTTTTAAGCTCCCCAGTGCTGAGATTACAGGTGTGCGCCACCACGCTCGGCTTCAGTGGCTGGCATGGTGTGCCCTGGGTCCGGGGTCTGCACAGCATGCGGTACCGGGGATCTAACCTGGGTCCTTGTGCTTGCCAGGCAGGTGCCTAGACTGCTGAGCTATCTCCCCAGCCCACGAAGAGCTATTGAAAAGGGAAATGAGAATAATTAGAATGGATTCTAAAAAGTTAAAACCCTTGACATAGGAGAGAACTGTTGAAAGACCTTTTAAAAGGAAATTATAAAATTATATACACTTCTAGCAAAAATAGATAAAAGAATATGAACCCTTAAGTGAAAACCAGAAAAGGCAGGCATATAGCCAGCAAAAGGAGTAAATGGACAATAAAAGTAAAGATGACAGAATGAATGGTATTGCTGCCACAGATGGGAAAAACAAAGACTTAATAAAGTGGTTAAGTAGTCTACAAAATACAAGCAATAGGGCCCACAAATAGGGCCGGTGAGATAGCTCAGCGGACTAAGTGCCTGCTTAGGCTTGATTCCTGGCACCACATGCCCCACCGGTTCTGCCCCTGGACATGCCAAGCTGGCCACAGAAACCAAACATGGTGGAATACACCTGTAATATCAGCACTGGGGAGGCTGAAAACAGGAAGATCACTAGGAGTCTGAGCTGTGTAGTGAGATCCTGTACCAAATACATTAAAAAGAAAAAGTCAACTAATAAGGAAATAGGGAACTATGAAAGATTAAAAAGCCACAAAAAGTCTTTTGAGATGTCATGTCAAAAAAAAAATTAAAAAATGTAAGTGACCAAATTAACAATAAATGAACATCAATTATGACCTTTAAATTCTACAGATTATTTCCATTCTTCACAACCACCTAATTTTACAGGTAAGGTATCTCATGCTTAAAAACCATCTTTTGGTCAACAGCCCCTGGATTTTTGTTGTTACTGTTGTTTTGTTTCTTTGAGACAGGTTCTCGCTGTATAGTTCAGAGTGGCTTTGAACTACGTAGCTCATGCTGGCCTTCAACTTGCAATGATCCTCTTTGCCTCAGTTTCCCAAGAACTGAGATTATAAGCATGTGCCATACCCAGCATAACCCCTGGACTTAAATCAGGGTCTAATATCTTGGTCCTATGGTCTTTTACACTGTATCACAACTTCCCATGAGAAATTCATAAAGTTGTATTTAACCACTGGCAATTTTCTATTCTTTCTTTGGGTAACAGTTATACTGGTCTGTCTTATAATTATTCATTAAGCTGTATATATTTTAGAGTACATTTCTCTATATAGTATATGGCATACACAAATGAGTCTATGCCAAAGGCTAAAAACAAAAGAGAAAGAGGGGGTAAAAGGGGAAGACCAACAACAGGGCTCTAAATGTAGAGGCAGGAGGGTTTTATTCTTCAATAGCTGAAAAAAAACCTTTTTATTTAAACACAATTTTCTTATGGAAGACACAATGTATTAAAAAGCATTAAGGGTATAAGGGCAGGCAATATGGAGGGATGCGACATACAGTGAAAGCAGAAAAGTATTTTCCAATACTAACCACAATGGCAAAAGTTATATACCACAACTTTTATCTAGTCTAGTGAAAATTCCTTGGACATATAGCAAAACATCCAAATTTCAGCCTCAGTGCTCTATAAAATGAAACATTAACTTTCATTTTAAAGCATTCTGGAGTTCAAGCTTACACAATGGTACCTCAATTCACAAACTTAATTTTTTCCACAATTCTGGTCACAAACCAAATTGAACAAGAACCAAATCAAATTCAATGGTTACATTTACTGTTTACCTTACAGAGACGTTTGATTTGGTTCTTGTCCAGTTTAGCCTGTGACAAGAATCATGGCAAAAATTTTTGTCAACCAAGGTACCAATGTATCCTCTCCAGTTAATTTAAACTGATGAAGTTTGAGACATTGCCCTGAGATATCTCTAAACACAAATGGAAATAAAGCAGTACCTTAAAAGATACCAAGCAGCAATTTTCCCATTCTTACAGTCTACCTGCTTACTCTTAATGTACCCCAAAGAAAAAGAGTGATGTTAGACAATTAATCATGACCAGAGTTTTATTAAAGACTTCACAGTGTATAAGTGATGGCTGGGATAGTCTCAGAATATCAAAGAGCTATTTACTTGTGGAAACCATTTATATTGATTAGTTATGAGATTAATCTATAGATACCCACACGTGAAGAGTGACTCAAATAGTATTTGGGTTGTTTCAAAATATTACTAATTTTAAAACCCTTTAATAAACAAAGACTAAGTATTTGAGATAGAATATGCATTTTCCAGGAGCTAAAAATTTCCTGTAAAATAATATAGACTTCAGAAATCAAAAAAAGTACTTTATGTCTGCTGAATATCATCATAAGGAAAATTACACAAAAATACATGACAACTATAAAACTTAATAAGTCAAAAACCAAACTGAATTTCTTGGTTAAAAAAATACATTAAACTGAAAAAAAAAAGTTAATAGGAAATTAAATCCATACTTACTTATCATCCCTTTCTAAACATTTGACTAGAATTGGTAAAATTCCAGATTTTATTAAGTCATCAATGGGTGGGTTTCTGTCACTGGATAACAGTTTTCTGTAAAAATAAGAAATAAGAAATGAACTGCTATATATTTTTAAGCTATTTTAAAAATAACAGTGTACTCCTGGACCATGGAGGCAAACCTAGACAGGCACCCACACTGTGGCGGGCATAGAGCGAGCATTCCTGCTGTCACATGAGCCAAGTTGCCCAGCAGCAGAGCATCAGATAACAGTTGTTTTCTTCTATACTAAAACTTCAATATTTAGGTTTAACTGCAGTGTTGGCACTTTGCGTAATGAATAAGTGGGTCTTGGGTTGCAATTTGGGCCACCGGTCTCTATCCGGTTTACCATTGCTGTCCTAGATGATCAGGTAAAATACTTTACATAATTATGGGCCTAGTGTAATGGTGCAAGCTTGCAATCCTAGCACTCTGGAAGTTGAGGCAGGAGGGTAAAATAAGTTCCTTTGTCCAGCCTGGGCTATATAGTGAGTTCAAGGCCAGCCTGAACTACACAGCAAGAACTTGTCTCAAAAAGACAAAAAATAGAAATAAATAAAGTATAATTCTTGCTCTAGTGGACAAATTAGTACTTACCTTGCTGCCTGGACAGCACTCAATTGGACCACTGGGTTATCACTTGTGGCATTCTGCAACACCAAACGTAAATTTCAGAAATTAAAACAAAACAAAACCTTTCAAAATGTTTCAAATTGAGATCAATTAATAACATACCTGCAATATAGCTTCTAGTGTTACATTTTGCTTAAAAAAAAAAGAAGACAGTTCAGTAGTTTATTAACAAAACCATATTCATTAAATATGAATGTTAAAGTTGATATGCCTTAATTATTATTATAAAACTGGTCTTATTATTAAAAATGAAGCTTTCACGGCTACTACAAAAATGATTTTAAAGATCGCTTATAAAAAAGTCACTTACTGCTTTAAAATCAGCATCAACATCAGAATCTTCTAAACTTTCTTCTTGGGGAACATTTCTCTTTTTCAGTAAGTGTTCATCTCTTTTGTTCTGAAAGGCAACCAATAAATGCATAAGAGGGGCTGGGGAGATGGCTCAGTGGAATAAGTGCTTCCCTGGCAAGTGCAAGGGCCTGAGTTCTAATCCCCGGTTCCACCAAAAAAAAAAAAGCATAAGAGCTCATGAAGGCTGTTGTTAATGAGAAATCTATGAAAATCATTTCCTCTTTGTTAAGCAATGTTGAAACAAATATTAAATATATAAAAATATTAATAATTTTATGTATATGTTGCAAAAAAGTAGTGGTCAAATTCTGGCTTCAGTAATAAAATTAACTGGCTGACAGGCTAGCTTTTACACACACACACACACACGCACACACATACACCCCACTAAGATCAACATTTCCTAATCTTTAATGAGAATTTAACACTTAAGAGATGCAGGAGCTGGGGATATAGCTCAATGGCACAAGCTCCTGCCTGGCAAGCACAAGATCCTGAGTTTGATTCCCAGTACCAAAGGGGTGGAAAAAAAGTTCAGACACAAAACTTAAGAGATGCAATATTATTATTAGCATATAGCAAATATATTTCAACTAGTATGCCATCTTCATCTACTTATGGCTAACAGCTGCATGGAGCAATTTATTAAAATGATAAATTAACTGGAAAAGTTCAGGGTTTGTATATTACACTGTGTACATGCATATCTGCTGGGCTTGAACCACAGGTGGTACAAACGTGATCACTTTTATTGGTCATTTTACTAAAAAGCTAATAAAAAGCCACCTGATGGGACAATCATGCATGTATCACTGGTGGCTGAAGCCAGAGGAAAGGTGTAAATCTTGTTATCTGGCTTTTATAAACAAGACTGTCAATTTTACCAATTTATAAGATTTCAATTACATGTAAAAGCAACCTGTGCCATTTCATGCATTATGTAACACTAGGTAAGTCATCAATTTTCTCTTTTTAAGTTTTTAGTTTTGGTTGCTATGACATAGAAATATTTTTTTGCCTTTATTTTTAATTTTTTTAATAGATTGCAAATTGAAAATAAATTATTTACAAACATAAATGAATATAACAATAAAAATTGTCCAAAATAAAAATGAAGAATTTACAGATCAGTCATAATAATAGTTCAGTGTCAAAACCAAGAAACTTACATTCATACAAATAGAATTCTCAAAGTAGAAAGGAGTAGGCAATAAATATTTAAAGATTTAAAATTTCCGAATTTAGTTCAACTTGTAATACTGCATTTCCAAGAAAAATGAACCTTTTGCACAAGAAATTTAAATAAAATCATACCAAGATACACAAAAATGAAATTGTCCAAAACTTATTGTAAAGAAAAATATCATTAAAGCATATAAATAAAAAAATATTAGCTATGGGAGAACAAAATTAAATAGCATCTTATTCCACATTAGAAAGAAAAAAAAAAGGACCAAGTGTGTGAGAAACTAGACTAATTAAAGGACTAAAAGATTTGTTCTCTTTGAATTTTATACTTAGCAAACATACCTTTGAAAACTAAAAGATTTTCTAGTTATACACACTTGAAATATTTTAATACCTCCAGAAGTAGCTTATAAGAAATAACAAAGAGTATAATTCAAAAGGCAAGAGAAGTTGCAGTATGCTCCTGGATGAACAATAAAGAGCTTTCAATATGATAGTTATGCAGGACTATATAAAATATATTAGATGAACCCTTATTTAAAGGTCATTGAAGATTTCTATGAAACAGTACCAATCTTATGTTGGGTTGTACATGTATTTTTTTTTCATATATATGTGTATGTGTGTATAAAAGAGAGGGAAAAAGTAATATAAAGTCAACAGAAAATGGAAATATACTTTTTAAAACTTCTAATACTAGGAGAAGATATCATACAATGTCTTTTAAATAAATTGTAAGTCAAAGATATAGTATAAATCTTAAAACAAAAATTAAGATTAAGCAATATTCAGAAAATCAAATACTAATTAATTAAAAATTAAATGTTTCAAAACAATTGAACTAAGAAAAAGTTTTCATGATAGCAAAGAAATACTAATAGTAAAACAAGATAAATGCTGGAATGGCAAATAAATGACCAGCACTTCTAACAGTATGACAGGATATCGCACAAAGTTCTAGTGTGTTGTGGACATGCATAATGACCATGACAGTTACTGGTGGCCAGGCGTCACTTGTGGAACTGAGCTGTAGCTATTTCTTTGAAATCCACCCTGTAGACTCAGATGGAACCATGACCCACAGGGTGGAAGAAAAGTCCCGTTTGTAGAGTGTACTGATGGAAATATTTTGCTGAACACAAAAGAATAACTGAAAGACTACTATTGTATACCTCTTATTCTCCTGTGTTTAACTGTTTGCCCTATTTGGTGGGTTCTTTCCATTCTCATTCTCATGGGGCTGTGATCAACTTGCTCCCTCCCTAGAACATCATTTAGTAGTCTGTGTAGGCTTGGCTTTGTCATGAAATTCTTTAGTTCTTTGTCATGGAAATATTTCACTTCTCCATTATACTTGAGAGTTCTGCAGGGTATATCAGTCTGGGTTGGAATTTGTTTTCTTGTAAGACTTGAAGTACTTTGCTCCATGCTCTTCTTGACTTGATGATTTGTGAAGAGAAATCTGCTGTTATTCTGATGGGTTTTCCTTTCAATGTGATCTGTTTCTTTTCTTTAGAGGCTTTTAGTATACTGTTCTTGTGCTGAATTTCTGGGATCTTGATTATTATATGTCTGGGTGTGGTTTTCATTGGGTTGATGTTATTTGGAGTTCTATATGCTTCGGTCATGTATATGTCAGATTGTTGCCCCATATTTGGGAAGTTTTCTGCTATTACTTCTGCTCATATTCTTTTTAATATTATTTGTATTGACACCATCCTTCTCACTGATGCCTATTAGTCTCATACTATTCATCTTTGCAGCATCTTGCAGGTATTGAATTTTTTTTCCTGCATCCTAGTTGTTTTTAAGAGATCTTTTCTTACTTTTTCACTAGCTGCAATGGTGTCTTTAAGGTCAGAAAGTCTATTTTCACTTTCACGCAAAAGGTTTTGCCAGCTTGTGACTGAGGTTTTAATTTCCTGTATATCATTTTGAATCTGTTTCATATATTCTGTTTCTTTCCTATATTGCTTATTCAGGGGTTCCATCATTTTTATATTCTGCTCTATTTTATCAGTGTATTCTTTAGAAGTACTTAGTACTTCTTTGATTATAGTTATCACTACATCTTTTAGTTCAGAAATTATTTCTGATCTGATTTCTTCTATACCTTCGTGCAATTGTTTCTTTACTTCCAACGCTATTATTTCAGAGATATCAGGCATGTGATTTGCAGTTTCCTCAGTGCTAGTGTCTTCTACATTTGTGCTGGGTGGACTCAGGGCCTGAGACTGTATTTTGTTCCTTCTCTTTGTCATTTTGTATACCACTGTCTTCTGACCTTTGGTGTAGATCTTAGAATTATTATCTTAGAACCAGGTCCGGATCTATGAAGTTCAGATTCCTCCAGGTGTTGCTTGGATCTGGCTGGGGTCTGGCTGCTGTGCTCCACTTCTTTCTGCTGCAGCCTTCCCTTGGAGTTGCACCCTTTGTGTCACTCTGGCAAGATGTTCTGCTCCTGAATCAGCTGGGTGGGTCTTGCCTCTAGCCTCTTTGCAGGGAGTTCTGCTGAAGGATTCCATGCTGGGCCTGCACTCTGGGTCAAATGAGGATCTAGTGGGCCCCAGGCAGTCTCATTCACACATCGGGCCTGCACTCTGGGTCAATTCAGGATCCAGCGGCCCCGGGTCCTCTCACTCACACACTGGGCCTGGGCTCTGGGTCTATTTGGGATCCGGCGGCCGCGGGCGGTCTCACGTCAGGCCTGCACTCTGCTATATGCCTTTAGACAACATCTCTGAGGGTTTTTAAATTTTTTTTATTTATTTTAGGTTTTTTTTTTCCTCAGGGTCTCACTATATAGATCACATTAGTAGTGATCTTCCTGATTTCTGCCTCCCAAGTGCTGGGATTACAGGCGTGTGACACCGCACCCGGACTCCATTGCTGGCTCAGCGCACCCGGAGGCGGGCCAGTGCAGCATGTGGAAACCTGGCCCCTGCGTTTACCTAAGCAAGCATTTAGTCCGCTGAGCTATACCGCTGGCTCTCATAGAAATAAATTACATAGAAAGGCTAAATAAATAACTTTTAATAGCTTTTTCAAATTACAATTTTGGAAGACATAATGCTAATATTTCACACACACATAGCTGTGGAAAGTGTAATGGGAACTGAACCCAGGAAGCACTGAAATACATATCCAGCCCTATTAAAAACATTTGGAGGCTGGGAAGATAACTCAGTGGTCTAAGTGCCTGCCTGGCCAAGTCCAAGGACCCAGGATCAATCCCTGGTACCACATGCTGTGCCAGCCCCAGAACCCTAGGCACACTGTGAAAGCCAGTGAAACCAGGCGTGGTGACAAACACCTATAAGCCCAGGACTGAGGAGGCTGAGACAGAAGGATCACTATGAATTTGAGCTGAGTAGTAAGACCCTGTACCAAATAAATAAATGAAGATTTTTTTAAAAATTTGAAACATGATCTTACTAGTTAGTTGCTCAGGCTGGCCTTGAACTTAAAATCCTCTTGCTTCATTCAATTTTTGAAGTAGCTGAGATTATAAGGCACATCACCACATCCAGCTTTGTTTAATGTAATATTTATTAGAGTGTTTGAATACAATAAAGTTACTAAAGAGGCTAATATTCTTGATAAAATTCAGGTCAAATGTAAAATTTAAAATAGAAATATGTATCTAAATTTTACTGGCTTATGTGTGTAACACCAATTTTGGTGCTAGGTATAAAAATACATAAACAAGTAACCAAATATGCTTTTCATTAGTTTACTAACTTACAAAAAGCATACTTCCTTTAGTATCTTCTCAAATAGCTAATTCTAATGTATTTTTAAATTAAAGCACTTTACAAATTTTCAGATACGTACACTTGTATTTTACATAGTAGCTTC